GGGAAATCTATTTGCATCTGTTTTATGGATTCCATTTGTTTCCTATGTTGGGATTCCATCATGTTCCTCAGATCCTCTATTTTTTTAATCTGTGTCCTCTCTAGATTTATTAATCATGTCTTGCACCATGAGCAAAATCTTTGCTGTTATCTGAATAAATATTTCTGATTTCATTTTTCCCAGATCCTCCTTTGTTGCCAGTTCAGAGAGTCCAGGTGGTTGAGTATCAGATTGTTCTATCTTATTCCCCTTTGGCGTTGCTGTAGGTGATCCAGAAGTCTGTTTTTGAGGCTTGTTTATGTGTCTTCTCATTCCCACCGGGGGAGGTGCTCCTGTCACCTGCGCGGCTCACCTTCTCTGCCCTAGGATCATGGGATGGTGGCAGGGGAGCTTCCTCGAGGAAATGTATTTCTTGATAGTTATTTATTATAATATTGAGAAGCCATAATCTTGATCTTATTGTTACATTAAGGTAGACCAAAAAATTCAAACTTGTGGAAGAAACTTTTTTTTGGTACCAGAGATCGAACTCGGGTCCTTGTTCTTGCAAAGCAGGCATCAGAACCACTGAGCTAAATCCCCAGCCCTGGAACAAACTTTTATTCTGAGTCAATTTGTATAGCCACATGTCTGAGCCATGACGGACACACATTCCTTTTATATGGAAATGCTGCATTTTAAAAAATCGTATTAAAATGTCAAGTTGAGGCAGTATTTTATTTAGACAGATTGTTGTCATGTGATTTTAGATTGATAGACACAATGAATTTACAATGAGATGGCCATGTGGAGAAAATTATTGGGGAACAAGATATAAATCTGAGAGTCATTACCAATGATAGTTCAGTTGTCAATAGGTCAAAGAGTGGAGTCAAGGCAATAAAAAGGCTGTCTTCATGGCCAGGAACATTTTCGCTTTGGCAATTGGAGCAGAAACCATGATGAACAAGAGTGATAGCAAAGTAAACAAAACAATACTTTTCCCTTGAGAGGTAAGAAAAGTTAAATTCTAAATTTAGACTCACTTTTTCACATAATGGTATAAGTTCATCCTCAAAAAGGTCCCGGGGAAGTTTTCCAATAAAAATTTCACAGCCTCTTTCTGGTGGTGCAGCATCCCAGCCGGGTGGAGGCCCACCGTATTTTCTCTGTCCATTTTCCTGCAAGTCGAGGGTGGGGTGTATGAAGGAGAGAAGCAGATGATAAAAATCTTTAGTTTGATTTCCTTGATTATTTTTCAAAATCGTTTTAACTGATAAGTACTAATAGTTGAATGGTTAGATGACAGTGAAGTCTTTCATATAAAGTATACCACACTCTGTAGTTCAGAGACTTGCTCAAGATAAACATTGTTAAAACTTGTAAATTTGTAAAGTACAAATATAAGGGGTGATTATTTAAAATTTTTATTTTATTTTACTAGAGTGCCTAGCATGATATCTACCTTCTTAATAAATTAAAGAGTTTTTTATCTATTGTCATATAAATTCTCTAAAACTTGATCTTAATTTTAATCTGGAAGTCTGATTTAATGTTGAAGGCTGTGTGGTTTCAGAGCTGGAATATTTAGCTCTGTTACTTATTAGCTGTGGGAACTTAGATCAATGACAGGGTCTCTGAAGGTTTTGATCAGAGGGGACAATACATCAAATATGCATGGCTCTTGGCTGTGATAAACAATCAACAATTATTAATTCCTTCCTTGCCTCCCTGGGTTTATGTTGTCCTAAACCGGGCCAGATACTATTGGCTCCTGAAGAGAACCATATGAAGATTCACATGTGGAGAAATTAACTGGCTAATTTGGGGGATATCTGGTGAGGGTTTTAAGTCTGTTTTCAGAAATGACAGAATGGTAAGAGGTATTTACTAATGTTGGATTTTTATGTAGGGAACAATGATGCTCCCAGTCCAAATAGAGTTAACTTCTATTTTTCACATTTGTCTTAACAAATGTCCTTTCCACCTTTGACCTAACAAAGGTACTTTTTTTCCTTTGAGGAGGAGTAACATTGGTGTTTTCTGCAGGGTTATCTTTGTTTTCTAGGGGATAAAGACCAAAGTGAAGAGTGAGGTTAACTGATTTGCATTAGTTCATTTCTGGGGAAAGGTAAACTACTTTGCACTTTGGCACAGTTAAAGAGCTAGTCATTATATTTTATTGTGATTTTTGGAGAAAGGAACATGTAAAGGACAAAATATCAGGATTAATTAGTAATTTTACAATTAGTATTTAAGAAGTTTTATGCTATAATATATGTTGTTGGGGAACAAACAGTAATATATGGAGTCAAAAGATAAATGCCCCAATGTGTCACTACCCATCATGAGAACGAGTTACTGTTCAAAGCTTCAGTCTGCATTTCAAATATTTTCTCTGGGTATTCTAAAAAGATTGGTATTAGTTATTTAAAGACATTTTTTGGTGATAAATTTTTTTTTTAATCAAAGTGAAACAGCTTTTAGTATCACTGTCAAATCTCTATATCAACTTCCAATTTTTAAAATAAGAGTTTGCCCAAAGGGTCTTTGGATCACAGTATTTAAATGATCTCCATGGTCAGCATCACTTTTGCATTCCCAACAATTTATATCATGTTGCTTTAAACAGTGTGCTGAGTGTTGTATCTTTTCTTTACTTACTTCTGGCAACTGGATTTTTCATCTTATTGAATATTTTAAATTTTGGCTACAGACTGCTTGTAATATTTTTCTTACCCTGCATTCTTATATGATTATTCAATAGCAAAACTTTGGTATCACTGAAAAATCTGAGAAATGAAATATTTTATATTTTAGAAAAAAAGACAAAACAAAACCTCTAGAACTCAGTGGTCTGTAGCTCATCAAAAATTTCCTAACACTATAAATTTGACACTTGTAGGGATATTAAATAATTTATTTATTTATTTTCTAACAAATGGTTCTACCTCACTTACTGTGTGTGGGTGATAGTCTAATCCTCACAACACGACCATGGGTTAGAAAGTATTGTCAGCCCAATTTCCTGAAGACCTTGAGACCAGAGAGTAATTTGCTGAGGTTACATGGTTGTAGGTGAAGCCATGCGGTTCTGAACCCAGGAATTCCACTTTATCAGCTAAGTCATAATGTTGCTGCCTTGACTTAGGGATGTTGGAGAATTTACAACAGATATATACATTAAAATACTCTTATTTATGAAAAAGTTTAACAACATCCATGCTACAAACAAAATCCTCTCCAGTTTCCACTCATTTTATTACACTCAATTTTGAAGAGAACATATCTTGCATCTGTTGCTTACAGAGATGCATGTTTCAGTTGTTCACCACCAAACTCCTCCCTGGACAACTCTTCTTTGGTGTCATGATGATCCCCCTTGCCTTCTTTTCTGTATATCTTAGATATGTATAATAATCAATAATTACACAATGAATTTAGTAGAAATTTGGCAGTATTTTTACCCTTCAGCTTGAGGAAATCAAACTCTCAACCCATAACAGTAAAATGGTTATTCCAAATTTCTCATTTGGCAAGCTTTGTCTGAAGTTGCAAAATAAATATACAATTGACAAATTGACCTTTTTATTTTCCCTTTAACTTTCTTGATTGGTATAATTGCTATAAAATGTACCAAACTATTTTGTATATATCATGAGAATTAGAGGATTCATTTGCTTATGAGATTAAATGATTGATTAGGTAAACTTGCTGTGTTTTCTGTGGTTTGTATAAACATTTGGAAAAGAATGCTCTAAGAATTAGATTGACCCATTCAGAGATTCCCTGACATTTATGCTGTGGGGCAGATTTCTTCTCTGAACCACCCACTGGGCTTGGAATGTACCAGTAGTTGAAGTCTAGACCAATTTAAGGCAAGCCCTGGGCATTAGTAACAGAGTTAGAATAGCTGTCCATTACTCAGAAAGAACAGTTGGACTCTGTGTTTTGGTATTTCAGGCACTATTTTTATAGTTGCAGAGTTTAAAATAGATAAAGCCCAATTATAACTGCTCTTTTCCTTCCTGGTTGATGTTCTTCTCATGGGATGTATTTTCTCCAGCAGCTCAAATGTATTAATAGTTCAGAGTAAAAGAATATAGCTATTTTTCTTTTCTTTTTAAATAAAAGGATGTTTATTAAATGCTGGGAACTTTTACTTTTCCAATCAAAGACTTGGAAACTTCTCTCTTCCTGGCCACATATAAAGGGGGTGGGAGGAATCTTTCAAATTGTGCGAATTAAAATTTCAGGATCCAATTCTAACTGTAAATGCAGTGGCTTTAAATATTGAATAGTGAGCCTACCCAGTAACTCAGTTTACATATCAAAGTATTTGGAAATTCCTCCTGTCACAGACATTTCAAGTCCTTCACAATGGAGCTATAGTCTTCAAGACATTATAAGTACCACCTTTCTGACTTTGGAAAAATCAGACCACCTTTCTTGGTAGATCATTCTGGGCAATAAGCCTTAGCATGAAAATTAAAAAGACTGAGTTCATTTTGACCAACAGGCATTTGAACTTTTTTACATTTGAGGAAATCTGGGTACAAACACCCTTTCCTCCTAGATACTTGTCTTTTCAGCTTTCCTTGCTACTGGAATGATCATGGCTTTACAATAAAATAAAATTGAGTTCTGGTGCAGAAATTGCAGTATTGCAAGCTTTACTGTTGAAGACTCTTTGATGGTGGATACATTTTCATTATGAATTTGTGATGTGGTTTTGTGTTTCATCCCTAAAAGCTTGCCCATGAACTTGTCCAAATCTAAAATTTCAATTATCTGATACCTTTATATGAACTCCTTTTCTACTTTTCAGCCAGCATTATCTTTTATTTTCTCAGAGAAGTAAGAGCAACAAAAGCAACAACCAAATAGTCTAGCCAGGCACTGTGCCAAGTGCTATATATGTATTATCTTATAGAATCTTCTCAAGAGACCTATGGGGATAAGGAATTCCAGTTGTAGACTGTGTAAATTCATCCAAGCAGTAAGCAGCAGAAATAAAATTTGAATCTTACACCCATGCTTTTAGTTGTGATATTATTTTTCTTTGGTTCTTACATTACCTGTGCTTATTTAATAAAAGAAGAAACTGAGTCCAGGGACATTACATGAATTGCTTAAAGTCACAGTGGTTTAATTTATTGCTAAATACAGTAGAATGAAGGTCCTATGATTCTCAATCAAGTGAACTCCATGGCACATATAGTTTTCAAAAGTTGTGATGATTTATCTCTGGTTCAGGAGTCTCATAATTCTACATAGTATGTATTATGCCTACTTTCCTGTTGAACATCATCAAACATGACCAGCTTGTCACTCTGCCCCATATCCAAGCCTATTCATAAACTGGAAGGATGCTGCTATTAATAAACCCTCATTAGGTGTCTTTTTCCAGAGTAGTAATTTCAATTCCTCTAATGGTTCTTGGGAAAGTTTTGATTCTAAATCTACAATCATCTTTTTGTTTCTTTTTATTTATTTTTCCTCGCTAAGAGGGAAAACTAAACTGCTTTTCAATGTTTTCTAATCCACTTTGCAATTGACTCCATTTGTATCTCTTCCTGATCCTGTTCTGTTAGATGCTGCCCAATCATCTGTGTGTGGTGGTATCTCCAGCCTTCATGAGCTTGCCAAATTCAGAACAGTAGTTCTGTGGCCAACTCCAGGGGATGGTTCTTAGAGTTGCTATCAATGTATTGAAACATCTCTCTGGATTGTGTCTATTGTGGTTCATGAGTTCCTATTGTATGTTCCCAATTACCGATCTATGAGATTGACTGAAGAGTCTTTATTAGATGTTTTTTTCTGTCACAGTCCACCTATCTTTTAGAGCTCTTATTATAGAAGAGGGTTCAAGACAAGTCAAAGGGGCCTTAAATCTTAAATAAGCTGGACCTTCTTAGATATGATTTTTACTTTTAGTTTTGTTACAGAGTTTTTGTTGTCTGAGGACAACAGGTAATGCTATAGTGAGTCTTCATTTAGTTAATTTAAAAGGTAATTATGTTTTGTGTAGTTTGTTCATTTTCACATATTTTTAAGATCAGTAACTTCATGTTGACAAAGTTAATTTTAATATTGAGAATTTTAGTAAAAATAGTTCATTGAACTTATATACTCTGGAAGTTGGCATTACTCTTGTGAGCTACTTTCTATAATCTTTACA